GAGATGATGAAATGAAGGATGTGGTTAAACCCACATCAGAGCCAGAACATGACAGATAAATTAAGTGTTTGGCTCCCAGAACCACATAAGTACAGAGACAACTGGCATGATGAGAGAATTTGTGTTTAGGCAGACTTTTGTATTATGCGTTTGTCTTTTTAACTGCAGTTTTTTTCCATTTCTCATGTGTAAATGTACCATTAAAAGTAGTCAATGCGACTTATGCATTATATTAAAAGTCTTCTGAAACCATAGTTACGTATTTACTAGCTGACGAGCTGTTACCTCAAGAACCATTATGACCAGATCGCATCAGTGAGTCGAAATTGAGAACCAAATCAATCAAATTTGTGAAATCATTCTTTTAAACAGGTTCTTTTTTGAACAAATTAAATCTGGTCCTTTTTTAAATTGCTCTATTAAATCGGTTCTTTATTTTAACAAATTGTCCAAACAATTTTTTTTGTACAGATTCTTTGTTTTTTAACAAATCATTCTTCTGAACCGGTTCTTTTTCACCAAATCTTTCTTTGACTAGATGATTCTTTTGAACTACTAGAACCATTTATTTTTCTTTTTTTCTTTTTTCTATTTTAACAAGTTGTTCCCTTAAACTGGTTCTTTTTTCACTACATAATTCTTTTAAACAAATTTTTTAACAAATCTTTTAAATCTGATCCTTTTTTTTTGTATGTATCACTTTAGAATCAGTTGTTTGTTTGTTTGTTTTTTAAAAATTTTTTTTTTTAATTTTCCCTTAATTCCTTAAATTCCTGAGTTTATTCTTAACAAATCATTCTTTTGAATCGGATCGGTTTTATACAAATCACTCTCTTGAACTGCTTCTTTTTTAGTTAATTCTTTTTTCCTTCCCTTAAACTGGTTCGTTTTTCACTACATAATTCTTTTAAACAAATTTTTTAACAAATCTTTTAAATCTGATCCTTTTTTTTTGTATGTATCACTTTAGAATCAGTTGTTTGTTTTTTTAAATAAAAAATTTTTTTTTTTTAATTTTCCCTTAATTCCTTAAATTCCTGAGTTTATTCTTAACAAATCATTCTTTTGAATCGGATCGGTTTTATACAAATCACTCTCTTGAACTGCTTCTTTTTTAGATAATTCTTTTGCACCAGTTCCTTTTATAACTAATATATTTTTTAAGAAATTGGTTATTTAAATTGGTTAAATTGGCAAAAAAGAAAAATCTACAAATAGTAGCAACTGTTTTGTTTTTTATAAATAATTCTTTAACTAATCTTAAGTTTCTTTCAAATAAAAACTATTGGGTTTTAATGCAATGAAGTTAAGTGCATTTTATGCATTTTTAAGTGTATCTTAATTGTCCATAATTTTTACAGCCACTGTAGACCTCTATGTGAGTGCAAAAGCAGATATACAGACACATATGTAGGACGTGAATTGTGCGTTTTTTCGCATTCTTGTTTTTTTACTCCGTTAAATGTTTTATTTCCCATACTGTTGAGGTTATGCTTTCTGTTGGGTGTGGTGAGGATGTTTTATTAGCACATGGAGAGTCCTCCCTCCTGAGACAACTGCTAAAGTCAAACATCTGCACATGCTCCGCTTGGACAACAGGCTATAAAGAAAGAAAGGAGAGAAGAAATGAGGAAGGAGTTTAGAACATATGAAGGGGAATTTGGAAAGAGAGCAAGAAACACAGAGCTTTGTGTTCTGAAGTTTTCACTGCATTCCATGAACAATTTAGCCTGATAACTTTAAAGTGATTAGAGACAAACCAACCGGCTGTTATCTATTGGCTGCTGGTGACAATTGCTGGCATGTTATCAGTTTCAACTACAATCACAATAAAAATCAGTTTAGGCTGAGTTCTTGTTATCAAGAGAGATTAAAAAGGTACAAGAGTTGTTACGCAAAGGCACGTGTCTCTCTGCTTTCGCACATTTGTCCGTTTCGTCATCGAGCAGCCATGGTCTGAAGTGATTTAACTGGCCCAGACAAAATGTTGGAAAGCCAAACTGAACCTCTGAAGCCTTTATATTTGGCATTTTGCACAAATAGTAAGACTCCTCATAAAGTATATCAACAAATGTTTATAGAGCAGCCATGCAGAATTACAATGGTCAATACATGTACATTTCAGCACATGAATAAAGTCTCTTAACGCCAACGCTGCACTTTAAACTGGGACAGGGATAAAAAAATCCTAAAAAAAAATAAATAAATAAAAACATTTCACAAAAGCCCCACTTTCACAAGATATACAATACAATCAATTCAGGGATGGATCTGGCAGGAAGTAATAATGGATTCCATCTGGATGCCCTCACTGGATTGATCTTAAAAGAGTCCAGAAATAAAACAGTACAGATGCGTCACAAATGCAGTTCAAATAAAACAACCATATCTCAATCCGCCACGGCACTTTCCACTAAAAACAGTTTCCTCCGTGATTCCCAGTCTGATTTTTTTTTTCTTGGAAAAGTGCCCACTCTCTGTCCATCTCTGGTTTGCAGTATGTTGTTTCAGGGTCTGTCTCCTTTTCCGTGTGTCTTGAAGTTAACCAGAGGACATTACCACTCTAATAAAACATGGACATTCAAAAAGGTATGTGGAATTCTCACTTAAAGGAATAGTTAATCTAGAAAATAATAAAATTTTGTCATCATTTACTCATCCTCATGAGTAATTTATAACCTGTAAGACTTTTTCTTCTGTGGAACACAAAAGAAGATATTTTGAAAAATGTCCTATCTATCCATCTGTATCTATCTATCTATCCATCTATCCATCTATCCATCTATCTCCCGGACAACAGAATGATGCCATCAGTGCAACAGAATGAGCGTGGGACAGTTTCTCTGACCTGGGCCAGGATCTTGAGGGTCATCTCCCACAGTGATGTCCACATTTAGTTCGATGACAGGGGGTCAGATATCCACACACACTCACACTCACAAATATACACATACCAAAGAAAGACAGGAAAGCAGGCAATAGTTGGAAAGGAAGCAGGGAGTGTTGGCTGTCACACTGTGCAGAACAGGGTTTCCTGTATTGTTTCCTGCTTTTCCTGGACAAAGTTACTTCAGTTTCATTCGTTCTACAGGAATGCAATCCAGATTCCTGTGAGCTCCTCGGCATCCGCCTATTTTCAGATGGGAGCTCAATTCTCACCTCCTGAATGTGTTTGATAGACACATTCAGCGGCTCCAGTAATTTACCATAATTCCACATTTTACTCAACAGCTCCTTGTCGCTGTGTTTCTTTTTGGCTTGACATTTGTTTGTTTCCTTCTTTTTTTAAGAATCCATTGATGATATCAATGTCACATTTGGCATCAGATGTGAGCACAGGCCTGGTCTTGGTCAGTCTGATCGCTGCTTGTTTGAACAGGCCCTTCGTTTTTGTTTGGACAGACAAGGGAGGAATTTAGAGGTCATTGTGCATGTGTCGTTTTAGTGTATTTATAAATTTCAGAAGCTTTTGTCATGACAGTTGTCGAGAAGATGAGCCAGTGTTGTTGCCATTTAAAAACAATTTGGGAGCTTTGGGCTCAGCTGTGCTCATGAATCTGCAATTTAGCAATCTGCTAATTATTTTGCAGCCATTTAAAGATTAAAGGTCTTATTCTTTCACATGCACTATTTGTTACTAATGCTTTGATTTGTACAAACCTCTAATCCAAAGTATTAAACTTCGGTATGTAACTCATCCTACAACATTTGTGCTATGAACACGAAAAATAGCTCAAATTGAGCAGGGTGTCCAGTCCTACTCCTGGAGGGCCAACATCCTGCAGAGCTTAGCTCCAACCAGCTACAGCACACTTGCCTGGAAGTTTCTAGTGAGTCTGAAGACCTTAAGTGGTTCAGGTATGTTTAATTAGGGTCGGAACTCAACTCTGCAAGACAGTGGCCTTCCAGGAGCAGGTTTAGACACCCCTGTTCTATACGCTGCACTGGATCGCTCATCCACCTAACAAAGTAATTGTGAATTATGAACACTGGGCAAATGCACAACAGCTTAACAGAAGCGTCACTGCATGCAAACTGCAGTCTCGCAGCCCCAGATTTCTCCACCCTTCCAGACTTCCTTACTGGAGTCAGGGGAAGCTCAACACTCTCTTCAACTAGAGGTGAAAAACATCCACGCAAAGCTAGAAACATATCCAGAGTGCAGATGCTACATTAACTGAGTTCATTCTTTGGCATTTGACAGTATAGTAGAATTTGCTACTAGGACTTTGCTACTAGGCATTTGATAGTATGGTAGAATTTGCTGCTATGTTATATCATATAATGATATAACATCATTATAACAATATGATACGCTGTAGATATTTACATGAATCAGTTCAAATTTTATAACTGTCAATTTTGATGAATCTGATTCAAAGATTTGACTGCATCATTACTTAAAATTTGGCCAAAATGTGTCTGTGGATACACATAATATGTAGGTAAATATTGCTGTTTTTAATATGTCTTGTTATTTTGGAACCTGTAAATAATTGTAATTAAATAATAATTAAGTGATTATTAAACTTTTTTTCTTGTATGCATTTAGTGAAATTTTATTAGTGAAAACATGCAATTTTTATTATTTTTAATCATATTTTTACTTCCTGCATTAAAAGTTTTCAATTTACTGGTTGTTGGTCAAATATATAAATAACAACATTCATAAATTAACAACAAATTCTGTTCTTTTGAATTTGTTATTCATCAAAGAATTGTGAAAAAAAATGTATCACGGTTTGTTTACAGATATTAAGCAGCACAACTGTTTTGTACACTGATAATAGCAAAAAATATTTCTAGATAATAATTGAGCACCAAATCAGCATATTCAAATGATTTCTGAAGGATCATGTGACACTGAAGACTGGAATAATGGCTACTAAAATATTAACTATAAAATATATTTTTAAAAGGTTATGAAAAAAATAAATGCAGTTTTGGTGAGCATTGGAGACTTCTTTCAAAAACATTCAAACATTTTATCACCCCCTAAACTTAGTGTACAGTAGTGTGTATATACACACAGTATGATCAAATGTCATCATATTTAGGTACAATTATTTTAGCTGCCATATTAACACCCAGCCCTATTACTAATATGCATGAGCATATCTCTTAAGCATTCCATGTGGAAGTCATCTTCCTTCCCAGTGGAATGCTAGTAACATTGTGGCAGTTTGTGTAAACCATCCCCCCGCTTGCCCCCATGGACTGAAATATAAACAAGGTCACGGAAGGTCAAGTGTCTGACCATTTACCCACCACACGCTGTGCCTCATGATGCCTGAACGGTGCCCAAGCCATGGCCCACGGCCACAGGAAGGGTCTGTTTGTCCTCTTTTGGAGCCACTGAGTGAAGGAACATGTTCTCTTCTGTGTTTTCATAGGCGTGGCTGTGGAAGGAGGTGGCAGAACATACTCGCTATGAGGCAATCTCTTCTCAAAACCCCCGAGACTCTGAAAGAAAAGAAAAAAGGAGGAAGAAAAAGATGATTAGCCTTCTCAATGGTAATTCAAAACAGGTGCCTGAATGTGCTTTTGTGTGGTGCGAATGTGCACGAATGCTGTATGTTTTAGTTTCATGTTATGTAAACCAAAATGACATATTCCACAAACAGGAAATGACAGGAAGCAAAAAATATCACAAACAGGAGATGAGCGCACTTGTAAGTTTTATCTCCCCATCCAGTTTTTTATGTAAGGGTGGTGCGCCATAGTGGTGAAAGCTAAGGGCTGGTGAATAGAAGTTTGCTGGTTCAAGCCCCATGAGGAATGAGTTATGAAATACTGTACCCCTGATTAAGACGCTTAACCTCAGGTTACTCCAGGATAAAGGAAAACACAATCTCATTGCTCAGAAGTTGCCCTTTCATAGCTCAGTTATATTTTAATATATCAACTTTTTCTCTGATATTTCTTCTCAGATGAAAAATACACTACTGGTCAAAAGTCTGGAATAATAAAGTTTTTTAATAAAGGTCTCTTAAGGTCAACAAAGCTGCATTTATTTGATCAAAAATACAGTAATACTGTGAAACATGTTTACAATTTAAAAGAACTGTTTTATATTTTAAAATATTTTAAAATGTAATTTATTTGTGTGGTGGCAAAGCTGAATTTTCAGCATCAATTCTCCAGTCTTCAGTAATTTTGATTAAATGCAGCCTTGGTTAAAACTTTCAAACACATTAAAAAATCATCATTATTCCACACATTTGACTGGTTGTGAAAAAACAGACACAGATAAAGCAACTGTTAAGTATAGAGCCATAAAATAAGGTGGCTATATTTTAATTAGGCCTTGGATGACAGATGAAAAAAAAACATCAAAAGTGTCTTTTGCCCTTTATTTAATCTCATAGCTGTCTTTAAATAACAATTGAGATATTTGTATTTTTTCTTTTACCTCCGGATTGTAATGAGTACAAGTTGCTTTTGATAAATGCACACACTAAATAGCTGCTTACGTACTACACAGCCATTAAAAGCGCAAGCTTGTTCATTTTTCATTCGTCTGTCTGCTTAAGAATAAAAAAAATCATCCACTCTGAAGCAGAAAACAGATGAGTTATCACAGTTTTCCTGTGAGTTATGGTCACGGTAAGTGCCTGGAGCATCTCGCGTTACAAAACCACAGCCACAGGAATTAATTTACAGATTTGTTCTTTTCATTTAGTGCATCAATGATACATTCAAGAGACATATTGGCCATTTGTAACTGGAGTGGCTTCTTTGCATAACGCAGAACAGCTCAGGTTACGTGTGGCTCCATATGTGGAGTCTTGGCCATGCGGTCGGACTCTCCTTGCACCGTGGTGTTAAGAGGTCCCACTCCACCCACTGCTGCTGGCCAGAAACTGGACAGCCCAGGTGGATGTTGTATGCTTGAGCCTATCGATCGTTTCACTTCCAAAAAGACAGAACAGAAAGAAGGAAATCAGTGTTGCGGTGTGTGTGTGAGAGTGTGTTTCTTCTTTAAAAGGTCAGGAAGGGGCTACAGCGTGAGGTTCACCCAAACTCCCCTCACCTCAAAAAGAGAGGGAAACAAAAAAATCAGGCTTGTGGGAGGGGGACACATGTTCTCCACTCTCTCCCCCATCTGGCCGAAATGTTTGACAAGTAATTTTGCGAGCAGTCCCCAAGAACACACAAAGCTGCTCACACAGCACTGTTTCCAGATGTTCTCTGTGCGGCGCCAACACACAGATACATGTGAACGATTCCCGCTCAGTCGCACTGAGGAGAAATTAAGTTTGTCCAGGGGATATGGGTTTGCATGAGGGTGTGCGCATGTTTAGATGCATTGGTGCATGTGCGTGCTGGCTTGTTCAGTTTGCCTTCTGTTCTTCACTTCCCTCCTCTGTGTGTGTGTGTGTGTGTGTGTGTCTGTGTGTGTGTGTGTGTGTGTGTGTGTGTGTGTGCGTGTTTTGGTATTTTTGGGTGATTGAGGGTTAAAGATGACTCACTGTATTACTCATTGGTCCAGGGACACACAAATCCAGCATGTGTAACGTGATGTGCTTTCACAAGCTGATCAGCTAAGCACAGTATAAAGTCTGCAGAGAAGTGAGAAGAAAGAACAGTTTGGTTAATACATCAAACATTTGGCATAGTTAAAATAACAAAAGGGAACTGTTAAATGCAAATCGGACATGCAAACTTAATTTAATCAGGGTTTTAAACTTTTCAGACCCAGGTACAGACACTCAGCCAGCCCTGGGACCCCCAATATACAGAAAAATGTAGATTTTCACTGTAACACAAAAACAGTTTTAACTATTAAAGATTAGATTAAAGACATTTCCACAAAAAAAATAAATAGTTCTTGTGAGATTGTAATAAGGTCACATTGTGAAAAAGTCAAATCATGACATATAAAGCCACAAATATGACATATAAAATCAGAATGAATCCAGCTTATGTCATCGTGTACAAATTAAAAATTTAAATATGGAATATTTTTTAAGGAAATCCTAAATTATTTATATATCTGCCATGAAGCCCCTGTCTAACCCTCTGTGGACCAATGGATGGAAATCATAATGTTATTATGGAATAACATAAATAAAAGTTGTAATAATAAAATCCATCACAGTTTCCACAAAAAAAAATTAAGCACAATTAAAAACTGTTAAGCAGCAACATTAAGCAGCAAACATTAAGCAGCAAAACCTGTTAAGAACACATCAATAATACGAACCATTATTAATTTAAGTGCTAATAATAATAATTGAGCAACAAATCAGCATAATAGAATGATTTCTGAAGGATCATGTGACATGTACAAATATATTCAGAAAACTACCAGTGCAACCACAAAATTTCTGACGATTTTTTCAACAACAAAAAAAACCTATATAAAATGTCAAATAAATACACAGTCACATTTATCTCTTATACTATAAAACATACACAACATGAAGGAGGTGGCCTTCCCTGCAAGAAGATAAGGGCGACGGGGAGAGAGAGAGGGAGAGAGATGTGGGGGGAGTGGAGAGGGGCCATATAAAACCCCTGGAGCACAAGCCATGCTTTATCCTCTGACCGCTCATTTCTGTCTCAGGCACAGGAAACCCCTAAACTCTCTCAGCCTTGCCCCAGCGCCTGCACACACACTCTCACACACCTCAGCGTGCTCAAAGAGACGAGAATGGCTGTACGAAGAATGAATGAGCTCTGGAAAACGATGGCTCTGGCTTTAATGTTCGGCTTTCTTTTGCTTCACAGTAAGTTTATTTGAAGTCTTTTGTAAACTGTACTAAGTTTTGTGCCTTACATGCAGCGTTTCATGATTGCACACTCTTTTATGTTCTTAGTTTATATTCTGCATCATTCATTTTCAGGCTTCTTTGTTGTATGGATTTATAGGAACATATTGTTTCCTTATAATTTGTTAGGAAATCATTCAGTAAGTGGATACATTATATTTTAAGTTGTATAAAAGCATCACAGTTTTTAAATGCTAGTATTTGGGGCTTAAGTGGCTTTTATTAAATTTTACTCTAAAACAGTCTCACCTTGATTGATGTGTTTGTAGTGTTTTGTGTGTGTGTGTGTGTGCGTGTTTTGGTATTTTTGGGTGATTGAGGGTTAAAGATGACTCACTGTATTACTCATTGGTCCAGGGACACACAAATCCAGCATGTGTAACGTGATGTGCTTTCACAAGCTGATCAGCTAAGCACAGAATAAAGTCTGCAGAGAAGTGAGAAGAAAGAACAGTTTGGTTAATACATCAAACATTTGGCATAGTTAAAATAACAAAAGGGAACTGTTAAATGCAAATCGGACATGCAAACTTAATTTAATCAGGGTTTTAAACTTTTCAGACCCAGGTACAGACACTCAGCCAGCCCTGGGACCCCCAATATACAGAAAAATGTAGATTTTCACTGTAACACAAAAACAGTTTTAACTATTAAAGATTAGATTAAAGACATTTCCACAAAAAAAATAAATAGTTCTTGTGAGATTGTAATAAGGTCACATTGTGAAAAAGTCAAATCATGACATATAAAGCCACAAATATGACATATAAAATCAGAATGAATCCAGCTTATGTCATCGTGTACAAATTAAAAATTTAAATATGGAATATTTTTTAAGGAAATCCTAAATTATTTATATATCTGCCATGAAGCCCCTGTCTAACCCTCTGTGGACCAATGGATGGAAATCATAATGTTATTATGGAATAACATAAATAAAAGTTGTAATAATAAAATCCATCACAGTTTCCACAAAAAAAAATTAAGCACAATTAAAAACTGTTAAGCAGCAACATTAAGCAGCAAACATTAAGCAGCAAAACCTGTTAAGAACACATCAATAATACGAACCATTATTAATTTAAGTGCTAATAATAATAATTGAGCAACAAATCAGCATAATAGAATGATTTCTGAAGGATCATGTGACATGTACAAATATATTCAGAAAACTACCAGTGCAACCACAAAATTTCTGACGATTTTTTCAACAACAAAAAAAACCTATATAAAATGTCAAATAAATACACAGTCACATTTATCTCTTATACTATAAAACATACACAACATGAAGGAGGTGGCCTTCCCTGCAAGAAGATAAGGGCGACGGAGAGAGAGAGAGGGAGAGAGATGTGGGGGGAGTGGAGAGGGGCCATATAAAACCCCTGGAGCACAAGCCATGCTTTATCCTCTGACCGCTCATTTCTGTCTCAGGCACAGGAAACCCCTAAACTCTCTCAGCCTTGCCCCAGCGCCTGCACACACACTCTCACACACCTCAGCGTGCTCAAAGAGACGAGAATGGCTGTACGAAGAATGAATGAGCTCTGGAAAACGATGGCTCTGGCTTTAATGTTCGGCTTTCTTTTGCTTCACAGTAAGTTTATATGAAGTCTTTTGTAAACTCTAATTTTAAGTTTTGTGCCTTACATGCAGTGTTTTATGATTACACACTCTTTTTATGTTCTTAGTTGATATTCTGTATCATCCATTTTCAAGCTTTTTTATTGTATGAAATCCATGGATTTATCTTTTTTCCTCATAATTTTTAAGGAAATCATTCAGTAAGTGGATACATTTTATTTTAAGTTGTGTAAAAGCACCACTCTTTTTGAATGCTAGTATTTAGGGTTTAAGTGGCTTTTATTCAATTTTACTCTAAAACAGTCTCACCTTGATTGATGTGACAGCCAGCAGTTTGTAGTGTTTACTCAGAGGAGACGGGAGTTAAAAGGTTAGCGGGAAAACTCAAACAAAGGGCTCTGGCTTGGAGTGGAAACATGCCGTTGATCGTAATTGCGGGCTATATCCTGCTCTCTGTCTGGGTGGAGCTGGCTGAAACATGGGTGTATATTTGTGTGTTTAGGGACTGAAGAGGTTGGAAAAGCCTGGAAACTGTCTGAGGAGTCTATTAAGTATCTTCATCCTGTTTTCTGTGACTACTTGTGGTGAAATTGTCCTTTTGAAAAGCAGGCGTACGTGTGGATTTGTTGTAGGCTGAGAAGTGGACCACAGCATTTGGTTCATGTTCTCTTGAAAGTAGATGGATGTTTACATGATCAGCCACAGGGCTGAAGACAGTTGTGCGTAAAAGGCACTCTCCTTCCAGGGAGGTTACCGCATGTCCGTTATTTCAAAAAGGAGTAAAAAAAAAAGCTGGTTTGTAAGTGACGCCCTTGTGGGCAGGGCTGAGCTGTACGCCCTATTCCCTTTTCCCAAGAAGTGAGAGTAATACTGTTAAGTAGGTTTAAGTGTGGGAAGGTTTGAACACGGAGCAGCTTCTCAAGAGTATGGTGTTCAACTGAACAAACATTTACCAGGAAACTAGTGCTGTTAAAATTGAAAAAAACAAAACATTATAAAAAAAACTATGATTTTCTATAAGAAAAAGAATCTTAACTACAAAAAAACAGACTTCCATACCAAACAAATCCTCAAACTGCACATAATCAGTTTTCAAGCTAAATAAAAAAATTTATTAGGCAGCCCAGGGCTGAGCTGTACGCCCTATTCCCTTTTCCCAAGAAGTGAGAGTAATACTGTTAAGTAGGTTTAAGTGTGGGAAGGTTTGAACACGGAGCAGCTTCTCAAGAGTATGGTGTTCAACTGAACAAACATTTACCAGGAAACTAGTGCTGTTAAAATTGAAAAAAACAAAACATTATAAAAAAAACTATGATTTTCTATAAGAAAAAGTTATCTTAACTACAAAAAAACAGACTTCCATACCAAACAAATCCTCAAACTGCACATAATCAGTTTTCAAGCTAAATAAAAAATTTTATTAGGCAGCCCCCACCTCCTCTTGTTAGCGAACAGAAACTTGCATAGTTAGTCAAAGCTAGAGTGTAACGTGAAATCTTAAGTTAATGTGCCATACATTCCTATAGTTATCCTCAAATGTTCTGCTCAGTGATTTTAATAAGAGTAATGTGAAACCGTAAACCAGCTGAATTCATTAGGCTGTAACAGCCATGCTGCTGTTAAGACTTCGGAGGTTGCAAGAAGACATTGTTAAAATTAAGTCTCTTCCCATCCCCACTTAGAAACCGCAAAGCACTATACGTTTCCATTCCCACCAGTCTGTTAAATGCTTGGCACTTTAGTGCAATTGGCACTCCTGTGAGACTGCACCACTGGACGGTCAGAGCATAGCAATATTTTCAGACAACCATGGAAATATGTGAGCATGAAGAAGTTTTAGAACATAAAATTAATGTCTACTGCAAATTCTTTGATGTAAGTTTAACCAAATTTTTGTAAAAAAAAAAAAAAAAAAACAATTCTAGTGACTGAAACGTCAGCACCAAAAAAAAAATTTTTTCAACATCACTTTGGCACCATATTCAGCTCATTTCACAGGATTCCATGACTTCACTTGAAGCTAAAACTGTTGTTTATATGTTTTAAATAACATGAAACATGACATGAAAAACCTTCAAATTATGATAACCGGATCAGTGGTTTCAGCCATGTGGACAGGCAACCACATGCTACAGTTGCTGCAGAATTAAACTAACCAAAGCTAAGTGGCTAAAAAGGGTCAAATTACATGGTATTTGAATGAGGACTCCAAGGAAAGACTCAGAAGATAGAAGTACTGCATTCCAACTGGCCACCCACGGTTTAAATGAGACGGTGACCTCCCAACACAAGTATTGCTCTTTTAGAGGTGCAACCTTCCTCAACCAATGGATGGAAAGGGCAAGGAAAAATGATTCGCTATGTCAGCCTGTTGGCAAATGCGTTTAGCTGAGCTCACATTCTCCCCATAGTTACGTTAGCCACCCTGAATTTCAGTTACCACTTTTTCCCAAGTTGTGAGTTCACCCATTATACACCCTGGTAGCAATGTGGCATTTCAGTGGACAGGTGCCAGGATGACGGTTGGTGCTTCCCAAGCATCATAGAATATTATTGAATCTGGGTGAGATTTGAGCTCAACAGAGAGTGAGAAAACACCTTCACACGTCTTTAGCACCCTGGCAGACCTTGCGTCCTAAACCGCTACTGTGGTGTATTACAGTTAGATATCTGGATAAAATCCAAGGCCTAGATCAACTGTACCAACAGAAGCCAATTCATCCACCCTGATCTGAACCAACACATGGGAATTCCTGAACTGCACAACACAGATGATGTTTAAAGGTAATATTATCAAACACGTAAAGTATTTTTATCGTATTGGCCAGAACACGCAAAGCTATTTAGTGGACAGCAGATGCGTATTTTCATTGGTTTAGCTACACAAAGACACGGTCAAGGCACACAGGAAGAGGAAATTCATGCATGCCTGTGCATCATGCATGATAAAAACAAGATGGAGCAAGGAGAGAAATGATAAGCTTGTGGACCTCATATCTGTGTACCTTTGTTTTGGAACATTCTCCTTGGCTGACGATGCACACTTTGGCCAATAAAAACAAGCAGCTGCCATTTTCTCATGGCCTTTAGCTATTGCCTGGCATTCCTGCAGTCCCAGACCACTCTGGTGAGGTTAAGTCATGTACCCAGGGGTGTGGAGCCTATACACAAATGCTGTAGGATATCACTCCGATTTGGGTGTGCTCGGTCTCGGGCTTTTCAGTGATGCATATTGATTGAAACTGAAAGGGTGCAGAAATAAGCAGTTCATTCTCTGATTATGGCTTGATTAGTTAGGGACACAATTTCTGGCAACATTGTTGACTTGACTGCACTATTGTAAGAGAACTGAACCGAGCTGGACGATGACATCACTGAATCAGCAATGAACTGACTTTAACTGATAAACTGACTTTATTTCTATTGTCCTCTTGCATTATCAGCACACGTTTTTTCACTGTAAAGCTGCTTTTACACAATCTGCATTGCATAAAGATCATCTGACTTGAAAAGATCATCTGAGCAAACAGTAATTATGGCAAGCTACATGTTTAGACATTTATGTCCATCACGTCACTTATAATTAAGAAAATGGCACAAAACAACTATTTCGTAGCATATTATGAACCAATGTGAAATAACAACTAACAGTCATGTTTAATTAGTACATCATCTTAAATGAGAACAACAAGACAATCTGGATACATATCATGGTTTGTTGTTGTCGCTCTTGTGAGTCTGTTATTCTGTAGTTCCCCTGGCACTCCAATGCAGTTTTGCTGTTATTGTGTCTCTCACAGCTGGCATGCAGCTTCCAACCGCTCTCACTCTGACACTGTGCTCTGGTAATACAACTATCCAAAAACCTGAGTCCAAACAAAACTCTAAGGGTGCTTTCACACATGGCCTGTTGTTTCGGAACCGCCCGCAAAGCTGTTATTGTTCCATTCTGACAGATGACAGCTGTGACCGCTAAGTGGAATCCCGGAAAATAAACCGTGAAACTTTGACCAATGAGAGAACAGTTTACTCGCGCGTGACTTGTATTAAAAAAATTTGGTCCGTTTAGAAACTTTGCCGTGTGAAAGCGAACCGCACCAAGAATAAAAAGCAACATTGTAATAATTTTAATCCCTGTTTCGGAACAAAGCAATTGATCTACAGGTGTGAAAACACCCTAAGACACCAGTTTGGCCCAGTCTGCCAGTTGGATCATCATATTAGTCAAATAGCAACTTGGAAAGTGATGGCAAAGTTTCATACCCTCAGAAACTTTAATTGTAACCTTCAAGTTTAAATGTGTTCACTTTGATAAGAAACTTATGTAACATGCTTTATGTAGTCATATATTTGTGTATTTTCCATGATTAAGGTAAAAAAAAATCTTAATAAATGGTCCAACAAATATATCAATATATCAATAAATCAAACATAAATCAGTAAGTAATGTTAATGTTATTACATACATATAAAATATTGTTATATTAAAATTTATATTATTTACTATCAAATGAAATACATATTATTAGAAAACTGTACCCTATTTGTGGACAGGGCCTTTTCATTAATTGCTTATTACATTCAAAGATAGAGTTATATTATTGTTGTGTTTTAGTAATACTCGTTACATGCATGTAACTTTATGGAGAAGTTTCTCCAAAAACTTCTATGGCGGTTTTTGCCATTTTGCCTGAGGAATAAACAGATTTAATGTGGTTTGGCTAAGCCTCTTTAACCTGTGGGATAATTGCCAGGGTAATTAATGTTCAGCAAGCAGCACAACACTGGGGCAACTCTACCTAATGTTCCCTAATTGAAAACATAAGATTATAGCATTTGCTGCCATCAAAAGCACGAGAACTTTCTCATGGCAGTCTTTCTTCCTTAACCACCACATTACAGAGCCCAGGGGATTTGTTACGGTTAGCCAGAAAAAGTGAGAGAGGGGGCAAAACCCAACCCCAGTTTTTCTTTTGTGTGATGAGAAAAAAAGGCAGAAAGAAAAAAGATAGT